ATCAGCTGTGACCCCAAGTGCCACTTCCACACTTTATTTTAACACTTCCAGGGATGCTGACACACTGGGCAGCCCATTCCAATGTTCCCCAAGTCTTTCCATGGAAAAACTCTTCTTACATCCAACCTAAGCCTCCCCTGGCACAACTTGAGGCCATTTCCTCTCATCCTGTCCCGTGATTCCAGAAGAATCAGCAGAGAGGGAAGGTTGTTTGCTCTTTATTTCAACATAGGCTTCATCTCTTGTTGCACATTTTGGGTGCAGGGGATTCTGGGCATCCCAACAGGGTCAATTTATCAGGACTTGCTCAAACAGGCAAACCCAGGAGCCAAACCCACTCATAACTGGTGTCTGCTCAGTGTTGATATGGATTAACAAATAATTACAAAAAAGCAGAAAATTCCATCAAGATTTATGGCAAAATTCTGCACAATTGAGGAGGAAGCTCAATAATCAGTTGTCATTTTTGATTTAGGCAAGGTTGGACAGGGTTTGGAGCAGCCTAGGATAGGAGCAGGTGTGGAGGGGGTGGAATGAGATGAGTTCTAAGGTCCCTTCCAACCCAACCCAGTCTGGGATTCTTGCCACATTAATTATTGCCATATTAATTATTGTAATTGCTCACCTCTTTCAGAAATTTGCAGCTTCCTCTTTGCCCACAGAGGTGCATAAATATAAGAGCTCAAAGCTAACAGGAAGGAAAAATTGCCACGTAAATCCTAAAAAGGTGCAAGCAGGAACATTTTTAAGCTTAACCCCACCCTGCTGTACGTGGCCAAGGGTTGGAAAATGAAACACAACCTGACCAGCTTGGACTGGAGGATCCCTGGGGTTCCCTTCCAACTCAGGAAATTCTGTGATTCCAACAGAGGCTTTGTGAAAAAGGACATAATAAAGACCCCACATGAGCTCAAAACATAAGTGACCCAACCACAGCTTTGCAGCTGTTTCCTGCTGGGGGCATGTCTCAGGCTAGAAATGCAAGATGTGGCTGGGGCTGTGTATTCAATTCCCATCTGTCAGAGCTGGGGCAGTCATCCTCTGTTCATGGGACACTTTTCTATATCTCTCCCACAGCCAATCCTCCCTCCAGGAGATCTCTGCTGTTCATGGGCCATTAATTATTAATTATCTTCTGTTCACGGCCACTGAGTGTCCCTGCATGGCTGAGAAAATTCCAGCATCCATGAGGAGAGGCTCTGCCAGGGGAGGAGCCAAACATTCCTACCTGGATCCAATCTGACCTGGGAACAGCACAGCAGCCTTTGCCCCCTGCATTCCCAGAGGAGCAGCTTCCTTCCCCCTGCATTCCCAGAGGAGCAGCTTCCTTCCCCCTGCATTCCCAGAGGAGCAGCTTTCTTCCCCCTGCATTCCCAGAGGAGCCCAGGCCCATCTCCCCCAGCCCTGGAGCTCCAGAGGAAAACTCCCCCCTTGTGCAGGATCCTGCTCCAGCAGAAGCACAGCTGGCACTGCAGGAGGGCTGAGCCCCCCTGGGATGGGGCTGAGCCACTCCCTGACCCACAGGGGACAGGGCTGATCTGACTCTGGCTGTGGTTTGTTTTTTTTTTTTTTATTTGTCCTATTGCATTTGTATTTTTAATTTTCCTGTTAAAGAACTGTTATTGCTATTGCCATATCTTTACCTGAGAGCCTTTTAATTTCAGAATTATACTAATTCAGAGGGAGGGGTTTACATGTTCCATTTCAGGGGGGTTCCTGCCTTCCTTAGCAGGCACATGTCTGTTCAAACCAGGATAGGGCATCACATCCTTTTGTCCTGCCCTCTGTTCCCTCTCTGGAATGGGAGGGAAGCAGAGCAGAGCACGGCATTCCCCCAGGATCCTGTAGGATCACATGAAAGGCCATGAGCTGCACAGGTCATGAAAATCAGCAGCAGATGAGTGATTGCTGAGCTAACCCTGTTCAGGGGCTGTTTGTGGATTCCCTAACCCTCAATCACTTCGTTTTATTGAAACAGGGAGAGAGAGGGGTGTTGCCAGGAGTCTCAGTTGCAGGAGCTGGAGCTGATGCAATGGCTTCGTGTCCTTGAGTGAAGCTCTCTCCTATGGAAGTCAACTTCTCCATGCAGAAACCCAGGCAAACAATTACTCCAAAAGATATTTCTCTTTTTTTTTTTTTCTTTTTTCCATTGTGCTGTCTGGGCTTTTAGCTGCAGAGCACATTGACAACAGCATCTATTTTCTGAGGGGTTTTCCTTTTTTCTGCTGTCTTCTTATCACTCTTTCATTTGGATATAGAATCATGGAATGGTCTGGGTTTAAAAGGACTTTAAAGCTCATCCCATTCCACCCCTGCCATGTCAAGGACACCTCCCACTGTCCCAGGCTGCTCCAGCCCTGTCCAGCCTGGCCTTGGGCACTGCCAGGGATCCAGGGGCAGCCACAGCTGCTCTGGGCCTCCCCACCCTCACTGAGGAGATTTTTATACATTTTATACCTTTTTCCTTCCCTACTCAGCAGCTCCAAGCCCACCAGGAGCCCTCTGCTCCACACCTGTGATGTTTATTTCCTCAGCCTCTCCCCAGGAATTATTCCAGGCAAGGATGTCAAACCACTCTGTGAAACAGAAATTAAAGGCTCCCCTCTGTGAGGATGATTTTCGCATCCTCACCACTAACAAAGGGAATCCTGCACAGGGATGTGCTTGTTTTTAAGAGGAGATACACATTTATATAATATTCATATTTTGCCCCAAGCAACAAGAGGCTTTCAGGAGATCCAGACAGAGGTCTCCAGCTCCAGCTCACCAAAGCCCTTTGATTCCAGCACAAAGGAACAGGAGCCTGCAGGATTTTGGGTTGGTTTAAATCCCACTGTGAAACGAGGGAGATGAGGCACCTAATGAACCACACTCAGTCCTGCTGGAGTAATCCCTGAAAATCAGCCATCAGACAAAGCTGCTGATACACCAGGGTGCCATATAAATGGATTTGATCCGTTATAAATGTATTTGATCATTTGTTGGTCAGTTATAAATGTATTTGATCATTTGTTGGTCAGTTATAAATGTGTTTGGTCGGTTGTTGATCAGTTATAAATGGATTGATCAGTTATTGATCGTGATGATTATTCCTGCACTGAAGGGTGTTATACAGCCTCACCCACAGCCCTCTCCCCTCCTCAAATACCACTGCACTGCTGCCCACAACTGTGCTTTGAGGAGGAAAATAATAACAAAATAATACAAATCAGCATTGATATGTTCTTTGGAAAACACTTTCCCTTCTCCAGTCACTCTTAAAAGGCAGAGGAAAGGTGCAGCACTGAAGGGCTTTTACCACACAGCAGCAACAACTCACTTTTTCTTCCCCTGCTGCCAAGAGGCACAAAAAATTTCCAGATTTTAATACATTTCTATGATCTTAACTGCCTGCATGATCTAAGAAGAAACTTAGTGCAAAATGGGGTGCCAAGTGTGAGAGCTTTCTAGTCCTGGAGTGTGTTAATTCCAGATCACATCTCCCCAGATGCTGGGAATGTTCCAGCTTCAGACTTGGCACCTTGATTCCTGCAAAGGCCCAAACCCAAAACTCAGCTGCAACAAACACCAAATCCCTGGCTGGCCCCTGGGTTTGAACATCAAGGGGCCAACCTGCTCCCCAAAATCCAGCCAATTGGCTCAAGCAGGCAAAAATCAAAAACCAAAACAAGTCAACAAAAAAAATCAAATGCAAGAAAACAAAAAACTACCACAAAAATAATCCCAAACCTGAGATCTTTTAATTGCCTTGAGTTTGAGTTCTCCTTTCCCCAGGCTGCACAACTTCACCAAATGCATTGTCCACATTTCCACATCCCACTCCAGCATTTTATTGGCACCAGCAGGTTCCTGATGGAACAGGAAGTTTTCAAGGCAGCACAGAAGTGTTGGCTGCACTGCCTCAAATCAGTCTAATTCCACACAAATGTTCACTCTTGGCTCTGGATCCAGAACCATCTCAGAACAGGGTTTTTCACCAGCCTGTCCCTCCCCCCATCCTAGGACTGTACAGAAATATCACCCTGAAAGGAGAGGACGGGGTGGGATATGTGAGAAGGGGACATGCTGGAACTCAAAATGTCCCTCAGACATTTTTGGAGGTTCCAGGCCCAGGTCAGAAGCATTTGAGACCCTGGCAGACAGCTGGGAACAACTGTGATTTTGAGTTTGACCCATGGAATGATTTACCAACTTTGAAAGTGGAACAAGGAGTCACAAACGTTTAGATATTATAGTAGAAGTGGTCACAAAGTGGAGGGAAGATTTTTTTTTAGTATTGTACAGGGGGGTTTTAGCACCTGTACAGGGGGTTTTTACTTTGTACATGGGGGTCAGATGTTTTAAGATGGAGGGATTTGGGCCGGTCCTGTTTCTCCTCTTTCACCTTCCTTACCTCCATGTTCTTGGTGATGTTGGCACTCACAGATTGGTTTAGAGTAGAAAA